GTGTGAGTGGGTTTGCGGTACACCTCAGTTTGCAAATGTCCTCTACCAGAGACTGAGACCTCACAGTCCAAGAAAGCCAACCTGCCATTTTTTACATCTTCACGTGTGAACTTGATGTATTTATCCACAGAGTTGATGTGGTCAGTAAAATGTTGGACTTCCTGAGATTTGATTTTAACCCAGGTGTCGTCAACATACCTGAACCAATGACTTGGTGGTGTCCCTGAAAAGGACGTCAAGGCTCTCTTTTCTACCTCCTCCATGTACAGGTTGGCAACAATAGGAGAAACTGGAGACCCCATAGCACACCCATGTTTCTGCCTATAATATTGCTCCCCATATGTGAAGTAGGTTGACTGCAGGCACAGTTTCAAGAGTTGACACAGTTGTTCTGTGGAAAGCGTGGTCCTGCTGCTCAGAGTGGTGTCTGATTTTAATTTTAAACTGACCACCTCTACTGCATCATCAACAGGAATGCACGTAAAGAGTGATGTGACATCAAAAGAGACCATTGTTTCATCAGTCTCCATGATGACATCCTTCACCTTGTCCACAAAGTCCATGGTGTTCTGTATGTGGTGTTCTGAGCTGCCAACTAAAGGGATGAGTACAGACGCCAGATATTTGGAAACATTGTAAGTGACAGAGTTAATCATACTAACAATTGGTCTTAAAGGTACACCTTGTTTGTGGATTTTAGGTAAACCATACAGACTAGGTGTGGCCTCCTACACTAGGTGCGTACCCTGCTGGAAGCCAGGAACACTGCCTTCAGGTCTGGAAACTCAGAGGAGCTGAGTAGGACAAGAAAAGAGCTGGTTGCTGGTATTAAGAGGGCCAAGGCCACATATGCAAAGAGGATCGAGGGTCAATTCATCTCACAAGACCCTCGGAGCATGTGGAGGGGCATTAAGTGCATAACAGATTATAAAGGAAGGAGCGAACAATGTTCCAAAGACCCATCTCTGCCTGATGCCCTCAACAAGTTCTATGCACGCTTTGAAGACCCGAACAGACCACCCAGCACCAGACTCACCTCGCCACCGGATGAAGAGCATCTCAGCGTGACCTCAGCAGAAGTAAGGAGTACCTTCAGGAGGATTAATCCGCACAAAGCAACTGGCCCAGACAACATCCCCGGAAAAGTGTTGAAGGAATGTGCTGATCAGCTCTGTGAGGTGCTGGCAGACATCTTTAACACCTCACTTACCTTGGAGACAGTTCCCACCTGCCTGAAGACTGCCACCATCATCCCAGTCCCAAAAAGCTCTACAGTGACTGGTCTGAATGACTATCGGCCAGAGGCCCTCACCCCGATAGTCGCTAAATGCTTCGAAAAACTGGTCATGACTCACATCAAAACAACAATCAACATCAACGAGGACCCTCATCAGTACGCATACCGTGAGAACCGATCAACAGAGGATGCAATCTCCTCTGTGGTCCACACTGCACTCAACCACCTGGAGCAGAAAAACTCTTACGTCCGTATGCTCTTTGTGGACTTCACATCCGCCTTCAACACCATGATCCCCCAAACCCTGATGGACAAACTATCCACACTAGGACTAAGCCCCTCCATCTGCAACTGGGTACTAGACTTTTTAACAAACAGACCACAGTTAGTGAGGATCCACAACCTCTCCTCCTCCACCATAACCCTCAGCACTGGCTCTCCTCAGGGATGTGTGTTGAGCCCCCTCCTGTTTACTCTGCTCACATGTGATTGTGCAGCTACCCATCCAGGCTGTCACATTATAAAGTTTGCAGATGATACAGTGGTGGTGGGATGCATCACAAACAATGATGAGTCCAGCTACAGGCAGGAGGTGGAACACCTGGAGAGCTGGTGCAAAGAGAATAACCTTCACATCAATGTGAAGAAGACAAAGGAGATGATTGTGGACTTCAGAAGGAACAAAAACACCTACACCCCCCTGAACATAAGAGGATCTGCGGTGGAAGTGGTCTCCAGCTACAAGTACTTGGGTGTACATGTGAATGACAACCTCAGCTGGAGCAACAACACCACCAGCCTGATCAAGAAAGCTCATCAGAGACTCTAC